GATCGTTATGTATTGATTGTAACAGGTAAAACTGGTGAGAAAACACAGATACAGCATCTGTTATAATTCGAAAACAACCACACAATGAACACCACAGCATCAGAACATTGTCTCAGATAACAATAGATCCTGGAAGGACCAGGCCCCAACATTACCCCTGAACAACTAGACAAAGGCACAAGCTGATGCGTTGCATACAGGCACAGTGTATTCATCCCACTGCACCCCAAATGTACAGCATTACACTTAACACTAAACTGTGGATGAGATACTTCGTCATCACTCTCAGGATCGCAACATAGGCACAAGTCTGACTCGACCTACTAAATCACAAGTAACATCCACAATAAGGAAAGTCACAGGCTTCGTTACTATCTGAGTAATGGCTGAAGCCCGCGTGGTACAGTGGAAATCTAACATCGTCACTTCCTGGTCACGTGACCAACATTAGCATAAAAAACAGGAACTTCCTGTTAACGTACGCTCCCCATCTGCCGTGAGGCAAGACACTCATACAATCATTTCAAAAGTAGTTAAACAACTGTCGTGTGTGCTAATAATGGAAGACTCGTGAAGTAATCTAATACATTTGAATATTCCATGGAGATGTGTTGTTTGTAGATTCTGCACGCAACAAACCACTAGAATGACAAAAAAAGTGGTGATGCTACAAACAAGAAGAGTTCCGGCTAACTTCATGGTCACCCCGATTCATCAGTGAAAACGAGCTTCATAGCTCATCGGATTCCTCCAGTTTAAATAATGATTCTGATTATGTTTGTTGCAGAGCAGTGGTGGGGCGGCCCCTATAATTTGTGCTCCACTACCCTTACAATTCAAATGTCTATGAGGATCTGTATTGAGCTATGTTGTGCATCCATGCATATCGTTTAGCCATGGCTGGGAATTGAACTCACTTTTCCGAGTTCATAGCGCAGAGGCCAAATAAAAATGTTATATTGATATTGGAAAGTAATGCACAATATTACTTGAACCTATAGTTTCTCAAGAAAGAAGAGTCTTATTGAAGAAAAGTTAGCACTGCAACCTAGAGTCTCGTTTGGGTTTTTATAATTTGCAATAATTGTCATAATTTGGGATTGCAATTGAAATCAAGCACAATATGCATTTTCATTGGCTTATTTAATTCATATTCTCTGCATCATTTATGGCACCAATTACACGCATCACATACGAATGAAACATCCAGTAATCAATCACTTGTTACACATTCACTAATCAAGTAATGTATTTACGATTGTAAGAATCGACTTCACTTCCGAAAAAACCTAAGAGTATGATTCCTTAATCCGTTTAATCAATGTGAAATGAGCAACTTCCGCAACACGTCGTCTAGAGGGCACTTCTTTATTTATCACACCAGGCACAACACGGGCCAACACTGGTTTACTTCACGCGGATATATTTTTAGATGATAACGTCTCTACGACTATACACAGCCGATCACTCGGCGTGGTCCCATCGCCTACACTCGGCTACGCCGTTGGTTAGCGGCGTGACGCTGTCCGCGATGGAGACCCCGCAGAAGATCTTCCACGTGGCCGGATGACGGAGAGAGATCACGGCGAGCAGCGACGCGGCCAGGACCCAGACCCCACGGACAAGCCCCGAGCTCTGGTTCCGCTCCCCCTTATATTCCACCAGGCGTGAATAGGACCCGCCTCCGGGCACACCCTCTCATGGAACCTTCGAGCAGGTTCCCGAAGTATATCGGCTAACCTCACCTGTTACGTTTGGCCCAGATCCACCTCATTCACTGATTGGTTGTTACTTTAACAGTACCCGTACCCGTACTTCCCATTCCAGGCCAGCAGGTGTCACTTCTGTCATTACACATTCAAACAGGACCGATTATGTACCGATAGCAAGTAAACTAATTTTTTGTTGCCAATTTATGACATATACTGGGATGCATCTAAAGTTGACCGTATGGTTGGTCCACGGTTATGATATCTATTTGAAGTTTATGAACGATGGTATTCAATTGCTGAGCAGCGGTGACTGGCTGTCATTGTATAAAGCAACTCCCATCTGGACAATGCTGACAATTTCAATGACAAGGAAAATTCGGCGCAGTGCAATGTGGGCAACTTTTAAATCTGCCTTTGCTGATCCCCTCATCGCAGAATCATTTTGAGCAACATGTAAGCCGATCTGACCCATGTGTTGATCACCATAGGCATGCTCCTCATGCTCTTACCACCCGCCACATCGCACAAGTGCTGCAATTTTCCATACAGATCCTCACCGCCCTACTGGTCTCGCGCTATAGCATCTTTGGCCTCTGTAAATGTCGCCTCGTCCATAATGGACTGGACGGTGTTAGGTCCCGATGCAGTGGCTCCACCAGCCACTCCGAAGACAAGTGCAGTGGTGATGAAGCCAACAGGCATTGCGGCAAACATTTCCAGGACAATGCCGGCAACGGTTGCAGTGGCATCCATCCAGGCGCCGGCGAGCTTGGCGATGTTCACGTTTTGCTCTCTTTCATTCAGTTCGTGTATGATCCTTTGTAGCTTTTGAATGACTTCTCTTCGGTGATGTTTCCATGAAGGAAGACTATGTAGAACAACATAGCTTGCTCTTTTGTAACTGGGCTGTTGTAAAAAAAGCAAGAGAGGTTCTAAAAACAAGTATTATTATGAACGGCATGGTTTTTTTACATATCAAGATAGACACTTGTAAATACAATTTATCAAGACATGAATATCTAGGTCTTTTATGGCAGTCGATAATTTTTTTTACTTTTACTCATTTGCATTCAGTATTTATTACATTGCCATCGAGAATGTTTGCAATTTAACAATGTATGTAAGCATTTGGTAGGCAGCCAGCCATAAACTCCCGCCAAGCCATGTTTAGGTGCAGTGGCCCGAGAAGCGACACGCATTTCTGATGATGCACGCAAGACGACAACTGGTTCAGATGATGCAAATACAGATTTAGCCAACGGAGCGAATTTGCGAATCAAAATGTCCGAGTGGAATGTTAGAACGTTGAGTGGAAAATGCAGACCTGGCAAAGGTCATCAAGAATAGGGTGACAGAAAGGTCCAGGTGGCATGCATTTAGATTGACATTTCGAATGAAGAGAGCGCTGCTCTCAGTCAATTAATTTTAACAATGTGACTAGCTAACAATCTCTTAACTTAACCTTCTTGGAATAGTGTCACAAAAAAATTGCCTGAAAAAATTATAATAAATTGTACATCGTGAAATGTATAAAATGTAAACCTTTCAATAATATCAATTTAGTGAACACAATGTACTTTAAAATAATAATGAAGGATAGCATATTTTCACCAACAATTAAATAACATCTAGGTGAGGCCGAATGCTCTGCACAGGACTAGGCCCCACCACGCCACTCTGTCAGGTGAGTACTTTGTGCTATAGAGTCGATAACTACTGCTATAAAGTCAGCATGTACTACTGTAGTGATAGCAGGTACCACCACAGTCGGTATACACTGCTATAATCATGGCAGGTACCACCACAGTCAGTATGCACTGCTGTAATCATAGCAGGTACCACCACAGTCGGTATGCACTACTGTAATGATAGCAGGTACCACCACAGTATGCAGTGCTGTAATCATAGCAGGTACCACCACAGTCAATACGCGCTGCTGTTAGATTTTTAAGAGTAGTTTTGAAATATTTTTTTTGGCCCGGGCAACGCTGGTTATGTAAGCTAGTGTTATATGAAATGATATTACAAATTCCTGGCGACGAGCTCTCTTCTTCACATCTCATGTAGTCTGTAATTATTACAGTGAGAGTTCACAGCACGATGATGAAACTACCAGAAGTAAAAACAACACAAGAGAGAATCAGGGGAAACAACTGGGAAGAAGATGGGAAATTATAATTTCGTTTACTATTCGGTCTTATGTTGGCAAACATTATCACCATTATTTACTCGTAACAATGTTAATCGTAAAGCAAGGCACTGCATTGCAGTTAATGTCTATAAAACAGGCAATGAACCTGTGGCTCACAACTTAATCTCATACAGCGCATGGTCAAATAGTTCCCGTGACTCAGAAACGGCCCACAAACGATATCATACTTAAAGTCATACATATTTAAAATGTGTGTACGTATCATGTATTTACTCTGTATGTCAGTTGAAACATCCTTGTAACAAAGTGGTCTAGCTCAATGGATGTTCCAGGCGAAATATTTTGGTGGAAAAATATGCACTTACAAGCATCTTAGTGACACTAAATCGGGGACTAGAGGTGAATATTTGACCCGGTAACATTGTTTCTAATTGAAGTGCATAATCGATGCTGTTACTGCAAGGGGCCTCTTACCATTACATAACCGACTGAGGAGGGTGTATGTTAATGTGTGATTAATGTCTAACTCGACCTCAGTAAGGAAAACGTTATCAAAATCCATGATCAATCAACTGCTGAAAAATAGGCATCATAAGCCGTCGACATTTATTACCATCCTAAAATGTAACAATCCAATGGCTTTCACTGCTCCATCTCCTCTCAGTGGACAACCCCCGAACCATTACTGGGCTGCCACTGTCACTAAATTTGACCAACTGCGACAATCACTAATTGTTTCATATGCAAAGACTGTGCCAGCAAGTCTGGAGGGGCTTGGTTGAGAAATTCCCCAGAGGTCCTTGGTTGGGAAATTCCCCAGTGTATGGCTGGAGGCAAAAAGAAGGCGCCAGCAAGTCTGGAGGATCTTGATGGGGAAATCCTCCAGAGTTTTCAAAAGAAACAGCTGGAGAAATTCCCCCCGGAGAATCGAAAAGGATATTCAAGGCCTGCAGAGAGGGACTTGGGCCATCGCTGCTGTCTTCACGTCGTCGTTGTCTTCACGTTGTCACTGTCTGCTTGGTCATACAATCTCCACGTCGGCATTATCCCATGACGACGTGATACTAAGATACAATTACGTGAGTCCAGAGTCGTTGCAACTGGTGTCAAAAGTTGGATGAATTAAATGTTAAGATATGGCAAAAGAAAAAACCAACCGGGTGCAACTTCGGATGAAGGAGAGGAAGTTGAAGAAGCCCCCCTCCAAGCAGCCCCGGGAACAGGGATCCCAGTCAAAGCAACCCTGGAATGATCAGAAATGGCGGGAGAAGATGGAGCCGGACGCCAAGCAGCCACAGCCACAAACCAAGAGGGGTGGCAGGAGGTTGCAGGACGACTCGACCTGCTCCTTACAGCCAGCGGCAAGCACGGGGGCCATAGAGAGCGCGGGACGAGATGCGACTGCAGAGCCCGCGTGATCGCCAGCCACCACGCTTGCTGCGGCGGAGCCAGTATGATCGCAGACCACAAATGCTGCCGCTACCGCGGCGTACACAATGCAGGAATTGGCCGCCATTTCTGCCGCAATGTAGGAACCGGTGGCCATTTTTCCTGTGACCAACGCGACGCGGCAACCGGCCGCCATGGCAACAGCGTCCCGGGGAGCGACCGAGCCAGCTCCGAGAGCGCAAAGAATTCGTCGCTGCGGGCAGGGACTGGGCTGCTTTTACTCACCGTTTTGAGGTGGCCTACCAGTCCATAGGTTTGACGAAAAAGGAGGCTCTGTGGGTCCTGTCAACAGCCCTCGACAACGACGCTCTTGGAGCATTCTGAGCCGTTCCAGTCGAGTCGAGGGCCACACTTCAACGGACCTACAGAGAGATGGTGGCCGTCTTTGAGCCACCATCCAACACGCGGCAGAAGTTCCTACAATGGAGGCAGGGGGAGGCTGAAACGCCCCTCGCTACCGCAGCGATTTTATGGCGCTTGTTCCTCGTCTCCGCGTGAGTCTACTGCAACAACATAAATATGCTACGTGTGACAGTCATTTGTTTAAATATAGTGTGAGAGATAGCAAGTGAAAAAGATTCAGGAAATGAGAGAACGCTCCACAGAGATTCTGCCAGAAGATTGGGGAAGAGGAAGGCACGCCGTGTATCACAGCGCGCATCAGTTCCACAGTGCCGTTACTGCATTTCCACAGTACCAGCTACCAACATCACAAAACAATGCTGCCAATACCCTTAACCATTAAATTAGTGTACAGATGTCTTCCTTATGTTTATACACGTCATATTGACGTGTCCTTTTGTTGTTGATATATTTTTGTTGATATGTCAAATCTGTGTTGGTGTTGATATGTTATGTTGTAAATGATGTCGATGTCATTATTGCAGTACTCTTCACCAACACAGACAGGCAATGGTTCCAGTCCTTTATTTCCACCTTCTCTATCACACACAGCACCCTCTTTCGTCCACAACTCTCTCCTTTCACTCCTGCCGACATCCCCCCCCCCCTCTTATCTAGACGCCCCCCCTATCCCATTTCCTTTCCTTCCCCCTCATCCGTGTCTCCTCATTCCCAGCCACCAATACCACGTCTGAATATGTCGGGATTACTCCCGGTCAACTCGGTACAGGGATTAACGTCAGCGTGTCGGGGGTAGGGAATTTCGATGTTGTGGGAACCATCATGGAGGACTGTTACATTATCGTCGTTAATTGAAAGTAGGCCAGTGAGTGCCATTTGGAAATAAAAAGTCGCACAAGTTATATCCCACGCAAATGCGCGTGGGCAGTATTAGTTATTTTATTTTATGTTTCATAATAATGCCCACCACCGTAAATTGACAGATACATTAACTATGAAGACATGATAATTGGTTCTTTACCCTTCTATCTGGCAACAAAACTGACACCTTTTTACAAGGAGTCATGTTTGCATAGACCGCAATACCTGCAGTCATAATACAAACAAAAGAACATAACTCTGATAATGTGCACTGTCCTTGAAGTTGATTGGTCCACACCCGAGACAGCTTTCCTTAGAGCCTAGTCTCATATGGGTTGGACCAGATGACGCCAAAAGGCGCACAACTCAAGGACAATGCACCATCAGAGTATGAGAGCTCGGGGCAAGCATCTACACTATGGGAACCTCATTTGCCAGTAAAAATATGATAATTGGTTCTTTACCCTTCTATCTGGCAACAAAACTGACACCTTTTTACAAGGAGTCATGTTTGCATAGACCGCAATACCTGCAGTCATAATACAAACAAAAGAACATAACTCTGATAATGTGCACTGTCATTGAAGTTGATTGGTCCACACCCGAGACAGCTTTCCTTAGAGCCTAGTCTCATATGGGTTGGACCAGATGACGCCAAAAGGCGCACAACTCAAGGACAATGCACCATCAGAGTATGAGAGCTCGGGGCAAGCATCTACACTATGGGAACCTCATTTGCCAGTAAAAATATGATAATTGGTTCTTTACCCTTCTATCTGGCAACAAAACTGACACCTTTTTACAAGGAGTCATGTTTGCATAGACCGCAATACCTGCAGTCATAATACAAACAAAAGAACATAACTCTGATAATGTGCACTGTCCTTGAAGTTGATTGGTCCACACCCGAGACAGCTTTCCTTAAAGCCTAGTCTCATATGGGTTGGACCAGATGACGCCAAAAGGCGCACAACTCAAGGACAATGCACCATCAGAGTATGAGAGCTCGGGGCAAGCATCTACAGTATGGGAACCTCATTTGCCAGTAAAAATATGATAATTGGTTCTTTACCCTTCTATCTGGCAACAAAACTGACACCTTTTTACAAGGAGTCATGTTTGCATAGACTGCAATACCTGCAGTCATAATACAAACAAAAGAACATAACTCTGATAATGTGCACTGTCCTTGAAGTTGATTGGTCCACACCCGATATAAAGACATGTTATTACCCACTGCGGCCTTCAGATGTGCAGCTTGCTAACAGTACTTGCCCCAACAGTATGCTAAGGCTATAGGGAGATCTTTGTCTTTGTGTTGCGTGTGAACGTCAGTGTGTGTGAACGTCAGTGTGTGTGTGTGTATGTCTTCGGAACAGCCCCCCTTTGTAAATCAGGGACTGCCCAAATATTGCAAGTGCTGCGGGTTCCTGCTCGAAACTAATAATAATAATAATGTAACGTTTAAAATATTCAAGGCATCAACTGTGATGCCGCCGCCACGAAGCCGTTCGGCAGGCACCAAATCCCCGACCTCGCCACCACCAAGCAACGGAGCCGACCCCGCGTCCCCCTCACCTCACCTCACATGAACACACCCGCACTCATTTCCCCCCCCCCCCATAGAGCTCCGAGGGGAGGTCGCCTGGCCGACCGGTTTTTATCCGAGAGACCCTTATCGGGATTAATTCTCACGGTTTCCGGCGATCAGGGGATTGGATGACCTCCCCCGTGCTACGTGGCACCGCGGCGCTGCGGCCGGCCTTAATATGGTGTGGTCGCGGCGTGGGGCATTCGGCCACCGCGGTTGAAGCGCATCTCCCCCCACACACACTCCCACGGGTCGACGGGGCGAGCAGGGGAGGCACGGGACAGCATGAATAGGGGGGTCACAGGGGCTGTTGCGCATAGTCATGGAGGGTTGGGATAATTGCGCTTGAGCGCGCAGGCCCCATTGTTAGGGAGGGTAAGGGATTAAGTAGGATTTACGCCTTGCACGCAGCACACTGATTAGCATATCAACAGCGCCCAGAACCGCCGTGCGCGTGCCAGAGGATCGCGAGCCCATTGTTTAGCGCAGCATCCCCTTTGAGGTAGGGAGGATAAATAGAGGGGCGCAGAGGGAAAATAGCTCTCTTCTCTCCAGCGCCAGGCGACAGGACGCTCTCCAGTCCAGCGACCCGATCGTCCGTGAGACGCATCGAGGTGCGCTGCGAGCACGGGATCAACGAACCGCCGTGGGCATCCAGCAGGAAGTAAGTAGGTGAATTAGAATCATAGCAGATAAATCGGGAATAGGTATAAAGGTATCAGCGTAGGCCAGCCTCGTCGACTCACTGATTTAACATTAAATTACCAGGTATCAGATAATAAATCATTAATAGCGAAGCGTGGTCTCGCGTGATATTGTCGTGCAGTGTGAGCGTGTGGGTGCGCGTGTGTACACTGTGGTTCACCACGTGAGTGAGCTCTGCGTAGAGCGGCGCACGAGTGGGTGTCGCGTGTGTGCAGGTGTGTGCGCTCGTAGTGTGGGTGAAGGGGTCGGTGCGTCCGCAGGTCCCCGATCCGTCTGTCCCTGCCGGGACTCGCGCAGTGTGAGGGCAGCGCCGTTCGCCCCCGACCCCCGTTTTAATAGCGCGTGATCCGTGGAGAGACAACGCAGCGTCTGCAGGTGAACGAGGGCGTGCGGCGAGCTATGCCTCTCACACGAGCTCGCGGAGGGACGGACCAGGGAGGGGAGCCGTCGGGCGATGAGCCCAGCGACGGCAGCAGCTGCTCGCAGAGCAGCGAGGGGTCGGCGCACGGCGGAGCCCCTGCCATAGGCACGGAGCAGGGAGGGACTCCGGGGACCAGCGGCCCCAACAACTTGGTGCCAGAAGTGGGACGAACCCTCACATCTTCACGGGAAGGTGGCGCGCTACTCCACGCAAAGGTAAGGCATGTGTTCACCGGCCAGGGGACCCCTACATGGAAAGCGTTTTCCCGTAATATCATAGGGGCTAAAGAGCTTAATGGCTGGTCGGACGCGCAGGCGTTGCGACATCTTACGTTAAACTTAGACGGGCGGGCAGCCGACTTTGTAGAGGCACTACCCGAAAGCGCGCAAACCCAACTAGAAGAACTAATGCGTAGATTAGACCTGCGTTTCGGCACGCGCAACGCGATACGGGCGAAGACCGCCTTAGAGGCGCGCCGACGCCAAACTGGCGAGGACTTCCGAGACTACGCTGAGGACGTGCGATCACTAACCCGGATCGCCCGTCCAGAGTTCTCGAAGGAGGTCATTGACGCGCTAGCTGCAGACAAGCTACTCAGGTACCTAGCTCGCACCGCGTGGTGGCAGCCCAAAAAGAGTAGCGCAGGCCTCCCTTTCGATACCCTAGTCGAGCAAGCGCTGGAGTGTGAGGAGCTCTCCAGCGAACGCGCGCAGCTCCGAGGGTCGGGACAGGAGTACACCGTGGCGAGCCTGATCCCTGACGAGGAGGAGGATGAGGATGAGCCCGCCAGCCCCATGGGGAGACGGGCAAGAGAGGCCCAGAAACCCCGCGAGACAACCCCGGGTTGGGTAGCTGGGTTACAGACCGGCATGGGAGATATTGCTGGCCGAGTAGACCGAATGGACGGTAAGGTAACCCAAGTAGGGGAGAGGGTAACCCACGTAGGTGAGAGGGTAACCCAGGTACGCGAGGAAGCGAATAAAAATATGAAGACCCTCCAGTCTGAGATGGGGGAACTACGCTCGACCGTAGGGGGGCTGGCCGGGAGAGTAGCCCAATTAGAGTCCGATGTGGGACAACTGCGTACTGGGGGAGGGAGAGGGAGCGGACAGGGGACCCGCTACGGAGCCGCCCCCCCTCCCCGGGCATGTTATATGTGCGACCGCCGAGGGCATCTAGTGAGAGACTGTCCTGAAATCACCCGAGCTAGGCAGACGCGGGGGTTAAACTCCAACGCCCCCTAGAAAGCGGACCAACTAGGGGTGCAATCGACGCGGTCCCGATACAAATAGACGATAATGAGAATAATGGCGAGCGAGTGATCTCCACACAGGTTCCAGCAACAACGCCCACAGAAACGGTGACTCCTGGCGACTGGCTGCGGGAGCTGGTGGCGGGGATCACGGGGGCCACGTCGCTGGTGGAAGGGGAGGTAAACGGAGTGCGTACCCGAATCCTGCTGGACACGGGGGCGGTGGCCTCGCTCGTGAGCGCAGCGCACTGCAGCGCGATCGGGGTCGACGTGCGTCACCTGCAGGCCCCGGACCGCGCGCTGCACACTGCGAGCGGAGCCGGAATGGGACTGCTGGGGAGAGCCACCCTAGAGGTCCGCATAGGCAGCCAGGTGTGCACGCAGGAGTTCTACGTGTCGAGTGCGTTGTGTCACGAGTGTATCGCAGGCACCGACCTCCTAGAACGGTTGGGACTCAACGTGCAACCCCGCCAGCGATGCGCCACCATGGAGAGCAACGGCGAGCGGATACCGTTCCTGGGACGAGAACCAACGCGCCGCCGCTTTGCACCTGTGGCCGCTATCCTGGCGACGACAGTCACCATCGGCCCGCTCACCGAGATGCTGGTGCCGGTGGCAACATCCCCCACCGACCCCGCGCTCCGACCATCAGGGGAGGTAATGCTAACTCCTCACCCGGAGTTGGCAAAACGGTATGGGGTTGTGGGATCCGCCACGTTGGTAAACGCAGATGGGGACCGATTGTTTATGCGGATGTTTAACCCCCACAATACCCCAGCGATACTGCGACGGCGCACCCCGATAGCCACAGTACACCCCCTGCACGCACGCCACTCTAACGACTCGGTGTTCGCACTCTGGGCTGAGGACCCCGGGCATCCTGAGGGTGACCAGGACCTGGCCTGGCGAGTCGGCCCGACTCCCCGAGCCGAGGTCGTTCCCCTGCTCGACGCGTTACATGTACCATGGGCGGATTTACCTAAGGGAGGGGCCGATCGGCTGCGCGAGTTACTGCGGGAGTATGCCGACGTATTCAGTGAACACGACTCGGACGTGGGTCGGACCGATCTTGTTAAGCACCAAATTGACACCGGTGCAGCCCGACCCATCAAACTCCCTGCGTACCGAGTGGGCGCACCCGAACGCGCCCAAATCAAAGAGGCAGTTGGGGACATGCTTCGCGATAACATAATTCAGCCCTCGGCGAGCCCCTGGTCAGCCCCGGTGGTACTAGTAACGAAAAAGGATGGGTCAACACGGTTCTGCGTCGATTACCGTAAACTAAATGCAGTCACGCTCGGCGATGCCTTCCCTATACCCCGCATCGACGACACCTTCGACAGCCTCGCCGGAGCGCGATATTTTTCCACCCTCGATCTCGCGTCCGGGTACTGGCAGGTGGAGATGGCGGAGGAGGATCGGCCGAAAACCGCATTCACCACCCCGATGGGGCTATTCGAGTTTCGAGTACTCCCGTTCGGACTCACCAATGCGCCCGCGACGTTCCAGCGGCTGATGGAGTTGGTGATGCGGGGCTTGCAATGGGAACAGTGCCTGATTTACTTGGACGATGTGATAGTGTTCAGTAGATCTTTGTCTGAGCATTGGTCCAGGCTTCGAGAGGTGTTCCAGCGACTGCGAGCAGCTCATCTCAAGCTCAAGCCACGTAAGTGTTACATCGCACAACGCGAGGTGGGGTACCTCGGGCATCGCGTCAGCGAGGCAGGCGTGCACACCGATCCGGAGAAGGTACGCGCCGTAGTGGAGTGGCCACGGCCAAGGAATCTGACGGAGATCAGATCATTTTTGGGGCTTGCCACCTATTATCGTCGATTTGTAAAGGGATTCAGCGAGATTGCACGCCCCCTCACCCAACTCACTTCCCCTAAGCACCCCTATCAGTGGACGGGGGCCTGCCAGACGGCCTTCACCACTCTCAAAGACCACCTCACCCACGCCCCCACCCTCGCTTTCCCCGATTTTACCACCGATTTTATTTTGGACACCGACGCCTGCAGCAGCGGGCTGGGCGCGGTGTTGTCACAGGTACAGGATGGGACGGAACGAGTCATCGCATACGCCAGCCGGACCTTGAGTGGGGCCGAGCTGAACTATTGCGTGACCCGCCAAGAGTTGTACGCTGTGATTTTCGCATGTAAGCAGTTCCGGCCGTATTTGTACGGCAGGAGATGTCGCGTACGCACTGACCATTATGCTCTTCAGTTCCTTCTTACATTCAAGGAGCCGCGGGGGCAGATGGCCCGTTGGTTGGCGCAGTTGCAGGAGTACAACCTGCAAATCGAGTATCGGGCTGGCCGGACGCATGCAAACGCGGACGCCTTGTCGAGGCGGCCCACGGTGTACGCCGAGACAAGGGCGGAGGAGGCCTGCCCCTGTTTCACGGGGGGACGCTGCCGGCAGGCAACGGACCCCCGAGAGGCCGCGGCCACTGACCCCCCCCCCAGCGAGAGAGAGTGCAGTGTGCGCCACAGAGACCCTCACAGGTGGCACCGAGGATCCCGTCGACCGCCCGGCAAGCGCGGGACCCGCGGCTCGGGACCCGATCGGACGGATCCAGGAGGACGTCGGCTGCGCCTTCCCGGGCCTGAACGACGAGCAGCTGAGACAGACCCAGCAGCGAGATCCGGATCTGGCGGCCGTGGAGGCGGCACTGCGGGAGGAAAAGAGCGCCCTACCAGGACCCTGGAGCGGTTTGTATGCCCGGTTGTGTGTGCAGAACGGAGTGGTACGGGAGTTAACCGAGGCCGGCCAGCCAGGGTGCATCTGTGTTCCTGCCCAGGTGCGACCCCAGCTGCTACGGCTGGTGCATGACCACCCACTCGGGGGCCACGATGGGGAACGACGCACTCGAGAGACCCTGCGTCGCCAGTATCTCTGGCCCAAATTGGCACAAGACGTGGCGGCCTGGGTACAGGGCTGCCGCGCCTGTCAGCAGTGCGGGCCGAAACCGGCACGATACCAGGTACCCCTAAGGCCGTTCCGCGTCAGCCGCACGAATCAGCTGGTCGGGATCGATCTACAGGGGCCATTCCCACGATCCCATCGAGGCAACCGGTATATTCTAGTCGCAGTAGAGTATTTCACCCGCTACCCCGTGGCAGTGGCCATCCCTGATAAAACGGCCTTGGTGGTGGCCCGGGCATTCGTAGAACATTACGTACTCAAGCACGGGATCCCGGAACGAGTCCTCACCGACCAGGGTAGCGAGTTCGAGGCCGAGCTGTTCCAGGCACTGTGCCGAGAATTCGGAATCCAGAAGGACCGAACCACAGCGTATCACCCCCAAGCGAACGGTATGGTAGAGCGCATGAATCAGACCCTAGCGGGGAAACTCAAACGTATGGCGGCCGCAAATCAACGGGATTGGGACGAACACCTCCCCTACGCCTTTTTCGCCTACGCCACCACCGTACACACGTCGACGGGACAAACCCCGTTTTTAATGATGTTCGGCCGTGAGTCTCGTTTACCCGCAGATCTGCTATTCGGCGTCCCTTCCCCCCAGCCGGAGGAGGGAAGCCGCCCCGTGGAACACCTGTTGGAGACCCTGCGAGAAGCCCGAGGCCGAGCATACCCGCAAGGGGAAGCCGCGCATCGGCGGCAGGAACAGGGCACCCGACCCCGCATGGAACCCCCCTTATTCCTGACAGGCGCTAAGGTGTGGCTACACACCCCTCGCGTCGGGGCCGGGCAGGTAGGGAAACTGACGACCTACTGGCGGGGACCCTGGACCGTGGTGCGGCAGATATCCCCCTGGACGGTACTAATTTACGGCGGGGAGAGGGGTCGAGAGACGGTGGTCAATGTCCGCCGCTTAAAACCATGGAAAGCGGCCCCGGCGAGAGAGGACTCCGTCACCCGAAAGCCCCGAAATCCCGGAGTACCCGCACCCCTCGTGTTGGGGGGCCTCGCACACTACATGGGCCCCGCCTGGTCCCCGAGACGCCCCGATCCAGTCCGGAGACGGCGCGGACGACGGCCACTAAACCCTTCCGCTGCTGAGTTTGTGCCCCAGCCCACAGGTGCCGGGGGACGGGGAGAGCCGCTGGAGTGGAGGAGGAGACCGCCGCAGGAGCTACAGAGGACGGAACCACCCGCCCCGAGGCCAGCCACCAGGTCCGGACGGATCCCCCGGACCCCGCAACGTTTCCTCGTGGGCGCGGCCCAAGCGAGGTGCTCCAGTCAACCCGGGACGGGGACTGGCACCTCGGGGGGCTATGTGATGCCGCCGCCACGAAGCCGTTCGGCAGGCACCAAATCCCCGACCTCGCCACCACCAAGCAACGGAGCCGACCCCGCGTCCCCCTCACCTCACCTCACATGAACACACCCGCACTCATTTCCCCCCCCCCCATAGAGCTCCGAGGGGAGGTCGCCTGGCCGACCGGTTTTTATCCGAGAGACCCTTATCGGGATTAATTCTCACGGTTTCCGGCGATCAGGGGATTGGATGACCTCCCCCGTGCTACGTGGCACCGCGGCGCTGCGGCCGGCCTTAATATGGTGTGGTCGCGGCGTGGGGCATTCGGCCACCGCGGTTGAAGCGCATCTCCCCCCACACACACTCCCACGGGTCGACGGGGCGAGCAGGGGAGGCACGGGACAGCATGAATAGGGGGGTCACAGGGGCTGTTGCGCATAGTCATGGAGGGTTGGGATAATTGCGCTTGAGCGCGCAGGCCCCATTGTTAGGGAGGGTAAGGGATTAAGTAGGATTTACGCCTTGCACGCAGCACACTGATTAGCATATCAACAGCGCCCAGAACCGCCGTGCGCGTGCCAGAGGATCGCGAGCCCATTGTTTAGCGCAGCATCCCCTTTGAGGTAGGGAGGATAAATAGAGGGGCGCAGAGGGAAAATAGCTCTCTTCTCTCCAGCGCCAGGCGACAGGACGCTCTCCAGTCCAGCGACCCGATCGTCCGTGAGACGCATCGAGGTGCGCTGCGAGCACGGGATCAACGAACCGCCGTGGGCATCCAGCAGGAAGTAAGTAGGTGAATTAGAATCATAGCAGATAAATCGGGAATAGGTATAAAGGTATCAGCGTAGGCCAGCCTCGTCGACTCACTGATTTAACATTAAATTACCAGGTATCAGATAATAAATCATTAATAGCGAAGCGTGGTCTCGCGTGATATTGTCGTGCAGTGTGAGCGTGTGGGTGCGCGTGTGTACACTGTGGTTCACCACGTGAGTGAGCTCTGCGTAGAGCGGCGCACGAGTGGGTGTCGCGTGTGTGCAGGTGTGTGCGCTCGTAGTGTGGGTGAAGGGGTCGGTGCGTCCGCAGGTCCCCGATCCGTCTGTCGCCGCCGGGACTCGCGCAGTGTGAGGGCAGCGCCGTTCGCCCCCGACCCCCGTTTTAATAGCGCGTGATCCGTGGAGAGACAACGCAGCGTCTGCAGGTGAACGAGGGCGTGCGGCGAGCTATGCCTCTCACACGAGCTCGCGGAGGGACGGACCAGGGAGGGGAGCCGTCGGGCGATGAGCCCAGCGACGGCAGCAGCTGCTCGCAGAGCAGCGAGGGGTCGGCGCACGGCGGAGCCCCTGCCATAGGCACGGAGCAGGGATGGACTCCGGGGACCAGCGGCCCCAACACAACTGACAACTTTTTAGATATTTTTTGAGTGTAGGTAATATAGAAGAAAAATTGTGCCACGACTGTGGCTGTATAAAGTGAGGCTAATGGAATATTCTAATAACGTCAACCACCATATTTTAAAAAAGACATTTTATTACGGACTATTGATTATTGTAACGTGCGTGGATCCCAGATATTTATTGTGGGAAGTTCGCGACAAGCCTCGTGGATGTGTGCCGATGCCAATAAAGGTACACACATCTGGTGACACAGACGTACCTGATAAGATGCACCTCCAACTGTTGATGGTAGTGTTGATTATTAATCTGATGGTGGTTGTGTTTGTTATAATTCTAATGACGGTGATGGTTATGATTCGGGTGGTAGTGCGGTTATAATTCGGATGGTGATAGTGCTGATTAATTATTCTAATGGTTGTGGTGAGTGTTATAATTATGATGGTGGTGTTGGTCATACATCTGATAATAGTGGAGTTTTGCTATAATTCGTTTGGTGGTGATGATTGAAAAATCTACTGTTGATAGTGTTGGTTATTATTCTGATGGTGGGGATATTTATCATTTTGATCGTAGTTGTAGTGTGTATTGGTTGATATATTTCACCTATTACACTGGTCTACAGTCAAAATTCTTCCGAAATAAATGTAGTCCGACTTTACTAATTCTGGGTCACTGAGAATTAATTAGATAATTATCTAATGTATTGTGGTTTTCCCTGCACCCACAATCTATACATCGCAGCTTGCCGTGACTGAGCTTAAAGCAGAACGTGCAAATGTCCCCAACGAATGTGAGCGTTTACATTGGCATGCACTAACGACACCGCACCTGCTCGTCATACACAAGACAAAGACAAAGGTTACCTGTATAGCCTCAACACACTGTCGAAGGCAAGTGCCTTAGCGAGCACCTATGAAGGCCAGCACGGCACAGGAGGGGGTGGGTGGCCAGTACCAGAGCCAACCGCCTTTGTCTTTCGAGTGTCAATGTTTACACGTCGCACCAGGTACTAATCTAAGGCTGAGTCGACCTAGGGAATGCCTGGGACTGGTTAAAATAATCGTCACTGGTGTTGGTGGCCTTGAGCGGGAATCGAGCTCGGGTCGCAGGGTTCGTAGCGCACTGAGAAGCAGTATGAGGAGACTACACACCTCAGCGAGCAAACAAACAACAAGCCATAATAGAGGGGTTTTTTGAGGTTAGATCGCGTAAATAGAAAAATGTGTCGTTAAACCTGCCAACACCCGACACAGCGAACTAGTAAGGGTTGTTACGTAAACATAACATGCCAATTCGTCACTAGTACAGCACACCGGTGTGTTGGAGAGCCAAGCCACAACATTTACAATCTGAGTACGACGTTTCGCCAGTAATTAAAACTTCCTTCATCAGGCGACGGCCACGTGACCTGCACCTGCTTGCCGACGTCACTGCCCTGACAGTCCATCGATCAGCAGAAACGAGGCGTCACTCACCTCGCCCGGGGCACTATTTCTACACCATGCAATCCGCTCCATTCTAAAATTCGTACAACATTTAATGCAGTTCTTCATCAAGCGGGTAATACTCCCTGACCTCCTTGTTTTAAAAGCGAGTATAACATCTACGTGTCATTTTGCGTGATGGACCTTGCTGTTGCAGAGCGCCGGGATAGGATCTACATCATTCCTCTCGTGCTTCCAAAACCGGTTGTGTTCAGAACAGAGCTGTTCTGCGGCCAAAAATTAAACTATGATTGGGCAGGGCCGAGTGGCACAGGCAACACAGAGATCCCGAGTTAAAATCCGAATTTGATTTGCTCACAATTAAAATATTTTTCACGTGCAGTGACTTGATGGTTTCAGTTGAGTCATTAAACAACTGAATACAGATGATCATTTTTTAGATATACGGTAAATGTGGCTAAATATCAGCATCGAGAATGAATTCATTGGCTCTCGTGTGAAGAGCAGCAGCGCGGATCTAACAAAAGTTGTGAGAGCCAACGAGGAGCGACTCCCACAGCACAAGGCCTCCAAGGGAACGGGTCGCTGTGCGGAGCGGCCCGTGTCAGTCAGCACGGCACCCAGTGGTGGTGGAGGATATGCGGCATCACTGCACCTCTCTCCCTCTTCGGACGAGCGTTTACATTGAGGACCCCCCCCCGCCCATACCGGGTCAGACGGTGCCTGAATATGGCTGTGATTTCGTGACTCCGCCCTAATGGACCCCCTCAGAGCAATAAACACGATATTTTAAGTTTTCGTGACTGCAGGGATCCATACTCGTTGGTTCTTTCGGTAAAGTCACGTAGATATAAAATAAAATAAATTAAATCACGACGTTTCGGGCGCAACACAAGTGCCCGTCATCAGGTGGAAATAACCTCAGCAATAAACAATTGCTGACTTTACCGAAAGAAGCAAAGAGTAATATAAACAGTGTTAGTTTTAGTAGTTTTATTGTATTGGTTTGAATGCATACTTGGGAGTTCCCAGAATTATATTCAGGCGGAAAATAAACATTTCCTCCAACAAACCACTGCCCCAGATGAAGCCGTGCAAGTTGATGCACTGTATGTTGAACTTCTTTCACACCCTACGTAGTCAACCGTAATAATCAGAGGTGTTGTGGAAGGACAACACACTAAACACAAAAATCAGTTCTAAAGAAATGAGTTTGTCAAACTAGATGATTATTTAAAAGTGCAAAACTCAAGTGGCTACCTAAAAAATTATCTTGCTGTGGGTTTCCCACCTGATGATGATTGCTTGTGTTGCAATCGAAACGTTGTGATTTAATTTATTAAATTTTATACCTACGTGACTTTACCGAAAGAACCAAAGAGTAATAAACACGAGGTTTTTGTTTCCTCGCTTGTGACACACACACACTCCA